ATTTTATTGAAACGCACCAAGTGCCTGTGCCCGTGCCTGTGGCTGTGGTTGTCAGTGTTGCATGATCATGATTAGCTCTAGTAGTAGTACTATAGCCAGCGTACAGTTGCCACAGGCCTGCGGCAACTGTACGCGGGCTATAGTACTAGAGCTAGATCATGATCATCTGTTAAATGTGATGTTTTGAATCAATGTCAATGACAATGTTTACCGGCCACAGACTACAGTCTACAGACGTCGACGAGAGCTCGAGTTCACAAAGATGTAATAACTAATATCACAAATTTACGAATTAACCTAAACTAATATTGTTGACCGCCAGTAACCATGTTTTAATGTAAATTTAATGTTATTAAAAACTTCCATCTACTTGCAACATACCAGAGCACGACCACGACCAAGGCCTAACCAAGGAACCAAGGCAATCATCCAGCGCCACCTATAGCAAAAAACTGGCGATTTTACTTACCGATAGGTGGCACTTGGAAGCTAACCTGTATTTCGACTTTCGCATATTCCTGATATTCTATTACTGAAAAACATACCACGGACCCACGGGCCACGGAACAACTGACAATGTTGTAATGCCAAAGTTGGAGGTGTAATCTGATTAAAAGCACGAGAGTAGGTAGGTAAATATAGATTTTACTGCTTTCTGTATTTTTGTGTGTTAATAGGGCCTACCTTGTTGCACTAAGTTACCCTACGACTACGTCTACAAAAGTCTTACTTAATAGGAAAGTCTACGAAAGTTCTACTCAGTTAGGCTACTGTGTAACTTGTTGTTACTTCCGCCCAACGGAGTTGGAGGAGGTTATGTGATCGCTCTCGTGCGTTCGTGTGTTCGCGCGATCGATATTAGCGCGTCGAGTCAGCGAGCCAGCCAGCCAGCGCAGCGAGCCAGCGAGCGTGTACATGTGAGCGAGCAGCAGCAACGAGCGGCTGCTACGAGCGAGCGAGCAGCAGCAAGCCATCAAGCCAGCGTGTATATGTCAGTACGCTGGCGTATATCGTCCGTTATTCGTTTGTTCGTGAGTCGTATGGCGTACGGCGTATGTCGCAGGCGGAGGTATGCACTCTCCGTGAGTGCACTCTGTCTAGTTTCTGTTTGTTGTCAATGTCTTTGCCAGTGACATTGGGACTGGAGTGGAATTTGTATTCCAAGTGATTACCGACACCTAATCATGATAACATCGAATCTCTCGTAGACAAGATATACACTGTAACTCTGTTTACTCTGTTCTGTGTTATTGTTATTATATGCAGTTCTGTAAATGACAATCTAGTTTACGTTTAGCAGGTTACCTTGGGAACCAGTGACAGTGCTGTGCTATGCGTAGTATTAGCCACCACATGTTTAATTGCTTCCCGCAACTCAAATACTCCTCTATAACACACAGAACTACTCGTACACATGCCAATGTGTACAATCTTACAAAAGATGTGAGACTCGCAAGCCATTTTAAAAGATGATACACTCGGATCTCATGTCACATTAGATAGATCTATACAATAATGTAACCCAAACCTACTCTTGTTGGGTTACATTATTGTATCTAATGTCACGTTAGCTCTAGTAACTATAGCCCGCGTACCAGCGGCAACCGTACGCGGGCTATAGTTACTAGAGCTAATGTCACGTGTCCATTAACCCCAGAGCGTACAACGCTGAAATAGAAAAACCATGGTGTCGTTTCAGCAAAATTAATAAAGTTTACCTACCTTATTTTGATACTTCTCTACCGGAATATTATGCAGGAGTCATAGCTAGCCAATATAAGATCAACCGCTTGTCTCTACGATGTTCCTATGCCGAGATATAAAGCAATAAAAATCGAATACTTCTAGGTAATCCTAGCGCCATATCACCTAGTAACACGCCTCTCCCGCGTTTAGTGACTGCATAGCTATATACAACACATATGTTTTGAACATGTGTTGTATATAGCTATGCAGTCACTAAACGCGGGAGAGGCGTGTTACTAGGTGATATGGCGCTAGGATTACCTAGAAGTACTCGATTTTTATCGCTTTAAGTTTATATCTCGGCATAGGAACATCGTAGAGACAAGCGGTTGATCTTATATTGGCTAGCTATGACTCCTGCATAATATTCCGATAGAGAAGTATCAAAATAAGGTAGGTAAACTTTATTAATTTTGCTGAAATGACACCATGGTTTTCCTATTTTAGCGTTGTACGCTCTGGGGTTAATGGGCTCTTGGTAGTATATATAGTGGTATTGATTAGCTATCACTATGCCATTAAAGCGGCCCGAGTGCGCCTGTTCTGGTGTGATCTATCGTGATTATAGCTCCAGTACTAGTATATAGCCTTTATTACGCTGCAAAGTATTGCTCAGGCTATTGTGCTAGATGTACTGCACTTGCCTATACACATCTTAATTTGCCTCTCAGTGCAATGAATTATTAAACATCTCCCTTTGTATTAGCTTAATTGTGAAGGTGTCTCAATACTGAGAGGGTTGATCACTGAGTTTTGCCTCAAGTGCTGTAGTCGGTTGAAACAAATGCAGGGGTAGAAATTAACTTTTGAACACGGGAGTCCAACAGACTCCCTATCCTCAAAAAGAGGGAGTCCGCAGTCTGAGGTTCAAAATTAAAGATATTAACAATAACGCATGTGCTTATTTTTAAGATTCATGCGGGTGCATGTCTGCCAACTTTTCTTTGGACATTAGCTGAAAAATACGGTAATTCCGCGAGACCATTCTCTGGAACGAACTAGTTAGTATGGCAGAATTTTCATGGAGTCACACGGACTCCTGCATATGTCAAATCAGGGAGTCCGACAGTAAATCAGGGAGTATTTCAGGGAGTATATCAGGGAGTAAATCAGGTCTCTGCATGTGTTCAGATGATTCATAGTGGAATGAGTTCACAGATGTGAGCTCTGGCAACATGAGGAGATGTAACCCAGTGTCACAGTTTGACTATCGAGGTTTGCGTGGTTTTTTTTTACTCTTGTTTTGCAACCGAAAACAGGGTCGTCGTAAACTGGTCAGAACTGGATCACCAAGGTTATCCTGTCGCTGTCTAGAGTCAGCTGCATAGTCACACGTGTTTCGTAGCAATTGGCTGTCAGGCTAGCGCCGATCCCCCAATGTAATTATGAATGCAGCCAAAAAGGAACGAGAGAACTATTCGTTAGCCTGGTGTGTGAAGCCATGGCTGTCAACCTGGGTGGAAGCACAGGGTGTTTGGTGCTCTCTGCTTCCATGCCGAAGAGCCGGTAACCTAGCTGGCTGATGACAAGTGAGATGATGCGTTGATAACCACGCCCCGCGGGGATGCTGCACAGACCTTGCTGTATCCTTTTCTGGCATCCCGTCACCATTAACGTAGAATAAATCGCGGAGGTTTTTTAATGGGGTTCTCCTGAGTTATCCCTAGTGACTAGTCACTCAAGAAATAACTAGTTTTTGTGTTTGTCTCTATTTTCCTGTCTTCCCCTTTGTCTTATATATAGTTATTTATATCTATCTATCCGGCCACCCCCGCTATTTATTCCCAGTCTGCTGGTAGCTAGCATGTGCAGTCGACAGATATCACGTGCTTGCAAGTTGCACACTGTCTAGTAATATTTGGATGAGGTCCTGCAGCAGCAGCAGCGAGCTTGCACCAGCAGCGAGCTGAAGGTCTGGCAAGAGGCCAGCTGCAGCAAAATCCTGGTTATTACGCATGTTCTAGTTACGCGTGACCGGTTCAGAGGAAAACATGCTCGTCCACTTATTCATCCATGACTGAGGCCAAACAGAATGCCGAGTGTGTTTCGGATTACATGACTGGCCGGATAAATTATAGCGGACCCTAGTGCATTTTCACTTCATCCACTAGGAAAGAAAACTTCCATGTCCCCCAAAACATGGTGTTTCGATAGAGCAACGACATCGTGTCTTGTTGATGTTTCTTTTGGTCTCAGAGCTGATGATATACTGTGCTTGGTCATACTGTGGCGAAAGAAAACTGTAACTGTACGGTAAGTTTCCTACGCACCCTAGCTCTAGGAACTATAGCCCGCGTACGGTTGCCGCTGGCGCTGTCGATTAAGTCTGCTAGACAAGCATCCGTCTTCTTTGTGTGCTAGCACATAGTGGTGCATGAAGTACATCAAGTTTTTCGTGTTATGAATTTCAACAGGTGTTGCTGAAGAGTGAAAAGAAGGTGTGGTGTGCTTTCTCGAACAAAAGTAAATGCTGCAGAACGTACGTGTGTGTGTGCCTTTGAGCATTCGTTTTATGTCGGATTACCTCCAGTGATGTAGGTATTAGCTACATGCACGTTTACTAGTACTTGCATGCATTGCTATCATTCAATTTCAAACGTATGCTACTGTCTGCCAGTTATTTCTTTTGCATATTTTTAGCTCATCTGACATAATCAGATGCAGCTTGTAGAATCGCATGAGCGTGCGTCCGTGCGTCCGTCCGTGCGTCCGTGCGTACGTCAACAGTTGGGCACAAATCTAAACGGCTCGACCTAGGCTCGAATCACTGTGCCGAAATTGGAGGTCACAGGTCAAAGGTCAATGGGGCACAGGGCAGATTTTAGACATTTTCTGAGGACATGGTCTGACGGAGCGATTGACAAACTTTTTTGTTTTAGCGGTGACCTACCATTTTTATGGCTTTATTGAAAGGACCATGAAATGTACTTTCCGCTGACATGCGAAGAGTAAGTGTCGGATAATCTTTTGACCCTCAAGAGGAGGGTTAAACATGGATTTTTTTACTGTTAGAAAGAATTTTACTGCCGGGTTTGCTAGTAGAATCTATACATGCCTGGACGTATGAGGCTACAATGTCACAGTGAAATTTCAAAAGCTAAATTTGGTTGAAGAAGGTTTATGCTCCTTAAATCGTATAATTTCTATGGCATTCTGTACTGTCAGTGTGTTACATGTAACTTATGCCACTGCCAGTGCATGTGATGGGGATAGTACTGTGTAGTTTTTGCCTGCGTTAATTAGTTACAGGTGGCAGCTCTCTATTTCAGCCTGTAGGCTTGCGTAGGTAAATGGATGAGTGCTTACCTATTCCGTCTTGCAAATAGTTGTTGCTACTACGTACGATGGGAGCTTCCATCTTTTATCTTAAGACACTTAAACGTACGCGCCATCTCATGGCAACTTTCATAACGATCCCAACGAACATTCCTTCGAGAAGGTTTCTGATACCATCCTTGTGCCTTCCACTGTTTCGGCGCGTATGTGAACACATTTGGGACTAACAGGGTTTACTAGAATCCCACCACTCCACCACAGATTCACCGCAGTAGACGTGAGATGAGCGCTGTCACTCTGCGGCACTTGTTAATGGTTGAGAGTGTCATGTGGACTATGTCTCAGGTTTCATGGGTTGGTCAACTAGTGAATTGAGCGAATTCCTTCTTCTGCCAGAGCAAATGATAACGACATAGATACTTTTTAGTTGCGTAGGTTTTGAAAGCTATTGAAGGAATAATTGCTTGATGATAATAATTAAAATCTATTAATGAATGTTATTGGTGCTTTTTCATGATACTGATGCTTATTAATATGCAGTCATAACGTGCGAAATGCACATGACAACGTCACTTTATGAGGAAAACATTTTGCTGGCTGTATGAATGCAACTGAGTGTTGTGGTGCTGTTGCTATGTTGTTATTGATCCGGAGCTGTTCTAATGAAGCTGTATGTGAAGTAGGGTGGCACCTGCTGGCATCGGCAGCAATAAATACCGGCACTGCTGCGTGCAAGTGACCTGGTGTGTGTTTCGCAATCATAACATGGTACGTGGGTAGTGTGCACCTTTTATTATTAGTTGTTACGAGAACGCTAACCGAAAAACCGAGCTTGTGGTGGATTTGCCGTGATGCACATGATATTCATTATATACATTGTGATTAATTGATTTATTTGTTTATTTATTTATTTAATGACAGTAGATTGGTAAAAGATATCTAAACATGATCTTGCAACCTCTTCACCGACAAACCTGCATATTTCTATATTTCGATTTATCCATTCAGTTTATTACTAAAAAAAATCATGAGTCTAAATGGTACTGACTCTATGTGCAAAAAAGTTTGGAAGTTGCTGTTATTAGGATAAGTAATATTAATTGCAAATATTAATTGAACGGTTAATTAAAATGCCAGCTTCCTGGGTTAGTTAGCTTAGTCTTGGCTTCTTGTCGGCTATGGGCTCCTTATCATGTCTTTGTGGTAGCAGATGATTGATATTAATATTGATCAATCTTGATCCTGGTTTATAATTACAGATGTACGGGGTCTGCTGATTGTTCTTTGTGAATGAAGATACTATTTTTCCCTACCGTGTTACGATCTATGTGAAATTTTTGCGTCAAAACCGTTCGAATTGGCAACGCCGAGTTAAAAATTGAATCGAGCACGTACGTCTGTGTTTGTTTATGTGATTCGTCTGCCAGGGTTTCATGCAAACATGTAGAAGGCGAGTAGGGTAAAAACAGATGTGCCAATAAGCTTTTCAAATAAACCTCTTTATTTGATAGCTTCCAATTTGATAGTGGCAGACTGGCAGTGCTGGGTGTGATACATTTCTGCTACGAGTGCCATGTGGTCTAGATTTCTGACTTTTTTGTAGTGTAAGCCAAGCATCATATATTTTTATATATCAACGAAACATTACACCCGCCTGCGGTTTACTTACGGTTCGATCGTATCTGATTTTACGTCGGCTGGCAGCCCCATTAAATCAAGGAAACGAATTCGGCTAGTATATGTGAACGTAGCCTGGGTATATGTGATATGTAATAACCTGCGGCTGCCATTGCACTCATACTTATGACCTGGAAAGTCGTTTTAGTTAGGAAGCTCAGGGTACATATAACCAAGAGTTAGTAGGCCTACATAATAGAAATAATACAAATAATCTCTATTATGTACTCTTGATATAACTAACGCTCGTAGGGTCTATGTTTCCCTGACCTCTGTTTGACCTGGCTCGTTTAGCTATTTCTGACTAACCCTAACCCTATATATATATATATTAGTCAGAAATAGCTAAACGAGCCAGGTCAAACAGAGGTCAGGGAGACATAGACCTTATCTGCATAACTAACCTCCTAGATGTAATGGTTATTGAATGTAAATAGCTTCAAACTGTGACCAGTTATTATCACAGAAACTCTGTCATATTACAAAGGCGGCGTGACGTAAACGTTATTACATATAGCAAGGGTGGGTGTGGGGGGGGGGCATTTGTGTAGGCCAACTGTTTTTCCCTGCGAGAACGTCTAGCATGTCATGTACAAAAAAAACGTAATATGCTCTGCAGGGCTCGAATTCGAATATGATCGACGTGAGTTAATCTCGTTTTCACGGAATGCGTCAACCGCCTAAATAGTAAATATTAAGTCACCTAGCCGTGAGCGTGGGGTGAGCGTGGGTTGGGCGTAGTTGGTGCCTCGCCGTGTGTAACTAAACATTGAGTGGCACACTACAAGATTACAAGCCAGATAGACCCAGAATGACGTGTAGACTTTGAACTCTCGACACTCGCGCTAGTTTGCGTGCTCTCTCAACTCCGCATATATATAGGCTGCAACGCGAGCCCCCGAAACTAAAAAGTTGCAGCCAAGTACAACCGAAAGATGTGCTTTATCTCTCTCGCCATTTGCAGTTCTAAGCGATCTTCTAGAAGATTATCTGATCATGCAGTCTGTGCGCCTGCGTGAATAGCGCGTCAAATGTTCGAGTCGGAATTACGACAGTGTTTTATCTGTGCATTTCGCTGAAACTTTGAACCATTCGAAGGACGACAACGATTGACTAGAGTCGTGTGTGTGTGTCGGCCATATTTGCGATATCTAAGAAGAGCGATTGTTTTGAATGCATGTGTAAGCGCGTGTGCGAGGTTTCTACAAGACACTGTAAACATGTCGCATGCTAAAATAGACTACCCTTACCAGGTATGATAGTCAAGCATGTTTATTTGTATAGTCACGGTCCAGGAATTGCAGGCTGGTTCTTACAATAGGTCTGCATGTTCTCTTCTCCTCCGTGTGCTATTTCACTTGATCACAGGAAAGTGAAATGAAGTCGCAATTATCCGGAAGACTTCATTAAAACGTTTGTAGTCGTTCGTATGTCCAGCTGCTGCAGTTCTGTGGTCTGGATTTGCTATCATCATCACTATGTGTTTTCTTTGTACGGCTACAGTTGCGAATCGTAATATATATGAGACAGAAAGATGAATACTGTTGTGGTGGCATGTGTGTTCGTCCATTCTCTGTCATTAGCATATTTGGTATAAGAAGGTGAGAACTTAGAATATGGATGCACATGTATACTCTTTTGCGTACTTGAGAGAAATTTTAAGAGAAACGGCATGGGTATTCATTGAGTCATAGGTTGAGAACATGGTCTGACTTCATCAGTTTGAATGTTTCCCCCAGCCCTGGCACATAATACATATAATTTCTATTAGATCTAGCTAATTTCAGAATAAGATGTCGTTTTTTATGCCGTCCCAACAGGTGCGAAAATTGATCCAATCAACCGTCATCTCTAATCATGTCTTTTCTCTTTGTTGAACACAGTTGGTGAAGATGGATGAGGAAGCCATGGACAACGTGATCCCGATGGATACCTACATTCTTCCGAACACTAAAAACACTCTAGTCATCCCCGTCCAGTACAGAGCAGCGGAAGGAAGGGGAAGCGGAGAAGGTACCGATAGGTTCTCTGGTTTAGATTCGATCATTCAGTGCACACAGCACATTCACTATTACTATTTACTACCATGCAGATTAGGTCTACACATTCAAACCATTTCATGTCAGGGTTTTTCTCGATAAGTATATTGTGTCATAAAGCATATATGTTTTGTGTGCATCTGTTGTTATATTTTGAAGGTTCAAATGATAAAAATTGAAGACAATAAATTATTATATAAATGTTAATTGTTATAGTGAAATGGTTACATATAAAGTATATATATATAATTTTAGACAAAAATAACGTGTACATATCACAGTGTGAAACAAAATGCAAAACTTCGAAAAAATTCGAATGGACAGGTTATACTGTTCTTTCCTTGTTCTATTTTCAAAGCAAAAGTATGTCTGTGGATTCGGCATGTTAGCGAAAGGACCCTGACCTAGAACTGCTACGTTATACATTCTTGTTCTATATCATGCCACATCTCTCTGCTTTGGCCATCTGGTTACTCTTAGAAATGAAATGTGATTCACTGGTGTTGCCACTAGATTATGTATGTAGTTCATATGCACAGCGACTAACAACTGTCTTTCTGCTCTCTTTCTCTTTCTCTCTCTGCTGCTGCTGCTTCTCTGCGCATCTCTGTACGTCTATCGCGTCTGTCTACAGTGTCTGGGCCACATCTCGTGATTCCATCACCCGGTGGCAGTGCGTACAGTAGGAATCTCACCAAGAGTAAGTCGTCACTGCAATCGCGTCGTCGCAGTGTGTTGATAGATGTGCGTGTATTTTGGCCGTCACTGTAGTTGTGCCGATGTGCATCGAAATGTGTGACAAAAAGCATCGACGTAGTTATGACGTCATTAGTCTATGATGTCTCCGAAGTGAAGTAATGTGCCTTAGTTATAACATTTTATACTTATGATAGTCGTAACTGTTTTGTTTATTATGTTACTGGCAACAGGCCCATGGTTTCTACTAGTTTGTGGTTTTACGGAGTTGACGATTTGAAATTTGGTGTTTCATATTTTGCGTGTCGCTACCACGATATGTGAGATATCACCAATAATAAGATGGGGGGGATGGAAGGAATAATAACGATTTTTGAATCAAGATTTATTTATCGCCATTACATGCGTGCCATGTGACAACCATGGCTGATATGTGGAATGCATTTTTTTGCTGCAGGTATCGAAATTTGCGTGTTTCTCGCGGACAAGTCCGGCGTCGAGTTTTCAGTGGATGGAGGCAAGATGGCCACCGCGCAGGACCTCCACGAGCTTGTCGTTGAACTATTGGAGCTGACGTCGATAGCCCGAGACCTGTTTGCACTGTGGGTCACGTCACCTCTGCTCGGTAAGCAACGCGTTCCATCCGTTGAGCTTTTCCGATCCAAAAGCGTAGATATCGGTGGTGTTGGGAATCGTTACATTTGACGAGCGGAGGAACGGAAAACTAGACGTAAAAGTAAGATGTGTAGGGAACGTGGCTGGGAAATGAATCTGCATAGTTTAACTTGTCACATGCAACTATAGAGAGTTAGTATTCGTTTTGAATTTTTTATTGAAAAGGTGGCATGTCGTGCTTTACCCGTGATTTCGTCACCTCGGTTTAATGATCTTAATCTTTTCTTTGTAGAGATTCAATTGAGACCACATCATATTCCATTCAGAGTTGTGCAGCAGTGGCCAGACCTAGTGCAGAAGTATACTTCAGCCACGGCTGAAGAAATCATCCAAGGTAAGTGAGAGTAGCATCACTTCCTTCTCAGTTTTGTTGTTGGTTTTTAGCTCACCTTGAAATCGTCAAGATGAGCTATTGCCATGGGCCGTTAATTGTCCGTCGTCTGTCCGTCCGTCCGTCAACATTAATTGGCTACGGTCAACGATAACTTGAGAACCGTTTGACCCATATGTTTCAAATTGCATACAGTTGTTACTCCTATGGGAGATATGTGAACGTCCTATTTTGGAGCGCGCCAGTTGACCTACTTTCGAGCCACGCCCACTTTTAGGCAAAAATGAAAATGGCCATTTAGATTCACTCGATTTTGTTAAATTTACCTACCTACCTACCTATCTAATCATACCTACGTGTAATATTGTGTTTTAGATTCTTCATTACAGTAATTTGACTGGAATATTTTATTGCTTTTATTTGCATGATAATCAAAAACCAAAATGGCGATCATTTAGGAGTAGCGCCATCTCTCGCCCAGATTTCAGACTTTCAGATCTGAAACATTTATTTTAGCATCAAAACTAACCCTGAAACAAAGCAGTGAAATTTCTGTTAGTATAAAACAGGGAATAAGGATATTTGATCACATTTCGGTCCGTCATAAATGAAACACTTACCAAATTTTAAACATCATCTCCCTCTTCTATCACACCCAAGGCGAGCTATAGTGTCATTGACACTTTCATTTGTTTCTTGGATGCTTTCTGCAGTGTCTATTTGTCTAGTTTATGTATGTTGTTATGCTGACAGTGTTGTTATACATTTCAACATCATTATTAGCATTACGAACATTGTCAGCATTATTTGTACTACCATTTAACGATGTTGGAATATGCATAGAATGGAAACGTAAATTGAGATAACTGTTGGGCATTGGCATAGCTGTGTGATATCACCATCTGCATATTTGTATATTTTGTGTACCGTTGAAAATTGAAATACCGGTCACATTTATTCAATAATCCACAACAATGGCATAGATCTAACCTTTTTCAGATGAGCCCGTTCTCATGTTCCGAAGAAATGTGTTTTTCTCTAAGGCGAGAGAAATGCGAGAGGTGAGCTAGTACATGTACATGTGCGCCGAAATCGGTGGACATACCCACTTTTCACCCCTCCGCTCCACATTCAGGGAACCCTCCCGTTCAGACTTCCCACAGGTCCATCCCTGCTAACAGTTAGCAGAAAATTTGCCATTTTCCAGTAATAAACTCCGCTGCAATCAAACCAATGACCTTTATAGACAGGTCTTCATTCTACGTTGCAGACCACTAACACAGGTGCGACTGTAATTCACATTCACATTCCTGCGCATAATGTCCTTTCTGCTAGGCGACCGATGCTGAATCTTTACGACTTCTCTACGAGGAAGCCAAGTTTAACGTCGTGGAGAGTAGATGTCCGTGCTCGTCCGCTGATTGTGAGAAGCTTGCTGGGCTGCAAGCCGTCATAGAGCATGGGCAATACGACCACAACCAGCACAAACCAGCGTTCTACAAGTGAGCAGTAGTGCATGAGTACACGTGTGGCACATCCCGCGAATCGATGCATGTAATAATTTCCGTGGTCCGGAAAGTGCGAATAACTTTTAACTTTGAACTAGCTACAAGGGTAACACTACATGCCCCTTTGTTTACGAAATGCGATTATTTTGGTGGTTACAGTATTCGTCATCATAAGTGCCTGCAATTAACATACTTGTTGTCCTCTATTCAATGCGCGAAGAAATAAGGTACGCAGCTATCTGCCTGAGTACATGTGCAAGTCAAGTTGGTTGAAAACTAAAGCAGAGACGAGAATATCACATCAGCACATGCGAATGTCAACAAAGGATCCTCAGGATGCACTGTACACCAAGTATCTCACTCATGTCTGGAATATGCCATTCTATGGGTAAGAGCCCCTAGGAACCTATGCGTAGAGAGAGATGCACAGTGCACTGTATGTATGTATGTGTTGAAAAGTTCCTGTTAGCTGTGTTTGTGCACACTACATTAGTAGGGATGCCTGCTCTTCAGTCAGTATCTAAGGAATGATCATGTAGATGTGAGGGAGACGTACTGTTTAAAACAACTATGTGGAGTATATGGGGGATGCTTAGTTAAAAACAAGAAGTTGGTCTTACTTTTGACTAGCTAAAATTTCATTTCACGATGGGGAAGGCTAAAATTGCCACTAATGCTCCATAAAATTCCATTAAAAATACCAGTCGAATAAGCCTTCATGTTTTTGTAGTTGGCAAAACATTCTTCGTGCGAGAGCGGCTATTTTAATTTGCTACTCTAACAAGCAGCTAGTCGCACCATCGGCTATCAGAGTCTCACTGAAGGAATTGGGTTTTTCAGGTCGGCCTTTTTCAAAGGTCAAATTGAAAGACCGGCAGGCATACTCGGGACCTGGACACAGAACCCGGATGTGGAGGTGTTTGTAGCCATCAATTCGGAGTGCGTGAACATCATTGACAGGGAAAAGCATGTAAGAATTTACTGCAATTTTCAAGTGTCTTTAAGCTCACAAAAATTTTCATTGTATTGACCCAGTACCTTACCCCCACCTCTAGTACACTTGGACCGGCGTAATATCGTGTAGTCGTACCCCAAACAGGCCGATTGGCTTTCTTCCATACACTCTGCTGTTGTGAATTTTGGGGGTTTGGCAAGTTTTGTAAAGGTGTGTACTTATTAAATAGGCTGTGGTCTTGTAACTTTTGTCGTAACATTACTGCACATGTGTACACACCACAGTGGTACTTCTGTGAAGCGTTTTAGAGCCGTGAAGGCATATGTGGTGTAAGGTGAGGTCAGTAAAGAGAGAGGAGTGCATTCTACTGAGTTGTTTACACCATATAACAGCCTCTAAAAGGAAAACGCCATAGACTCCCTTGATATAAATGCATGTCCATTTATAGAGGTGACCTCTGAAACAGGTTTCACTGTAGCTTGTGTGCAAGTACATGCGTGTGGGAATTTTTTTATGTGTTGCTTCAGGAGCTGACACTGTCTGTACCGTTTGAGAAGTTGTCGTGGGAGTACATGCAGCCACCGTGTCAGGGACAGGAGGGGCGCATGCCGTGCCTCTTTCTGCAGTTCATGTGTTGTGAAGACAGGTCTATGGTGACAAATTTACTCCAGGTGTTCTCCAAGCAGGTAAATATGGACAGCTTACGATTTAAGTCCATTTAAGTGAATATCTCGGTTCAGGCAGAGTTTCTTTCTCTTGCGATGTCTCTCGAATAAAAACACCCGCATGTTGTCACTCATTTTAGAATGTAGGGTCATAGAGGGAAAAATTCATCCCTTACCTCGAACAGGAAGTTTAAGAGTAACACTGCAGTGGACATGTCCATGGTCAAAATAGTTGATATTGCACAGTAGAAATTTGTGCTTAATACAAACAAATACCCATTTAACTGAAGGCAAATTAGCTAAAGAAGCTAAAAAACTGTGGTTACATTGTCGTTTGATTTATTTTCATACATCATAACTATAAATACCCATTGGCTAGGAGGTCAGGAGAGCAGCTATTTATTACATTGCATACGTGCTATACATGCATTATGTTAATTGGATATTCTTTATGTTCTAGGCGGCCATGATGGACGCCATGATAGAATCGTGTGTGCTAATGAAGACAGGCAGTGTACCAAACACGCCGAGTAGTTGTACGGCACCCGTGTACCCACCTCTGCATGTGCACAACGAAAACGGCAACACAGATGCGGACGCTGGCTATGGTACGTAATCTAAGTTGTCGCATATTTAGAAGAGTTACAAGATGACTGGTAAGCATGTAATTCGATACGGGAAACAGGGTTCATTTATTGTTGGGCATCGTTGAGCATTTAAAATTGGTTCATCCTGTGGTTCATTAATGATCAGACGAAACTCAGACTAAGATCTTGAAACATTGGGCTGATCCGTGTGTCTTCTCACAATTTTGATATAAAGACACGGTCGACACTGTAGCATGCACACAGCAGATGGGAGAGCATGGAGTGGCAGCTGCCATACCTAGCCTGGTCGCACACTTGGAGCGGCTTGTGGTTTCAACCTTCAACTTACAAGGTGAATGTATACCATGACCACGGTTAGCAATTTCGTGTTTTAAACTGGCCTTGACCACGGTATCACAGCTATCCATCTGGGTAATACCTGATAATACTTATTGGTACATATTGGTTACTGTCTGGGTATGTTGACCTGACATGGCATGTGTGTATGCTCGCTATGTAGCTATGTCTGCAAATTTGTGGATATGTGTATATATATATATATATATGGATCATTAAGAAATCATAAAAGAATGTGCTCCTATCCACAGGTGAATGTATGAAAGATGGCAGCAGGAGACAAGCATGGAGATTCGACAGATGATGTCTTTACCTAACTTGGAGATTTGCTTCTAATACTCGACATTGAGGAGTTAGTATCTCAGAGGGTGTAGACCCTTTCAAGTCACTTGTGATATGGTGTGAAACACAGACACTATGCTAATGGTTCCTGTAAAAGGCTACCGCATGTATAGAGGGTGAGTATGTGTTTTTTACATACCGAGTTATATTTCACACGTATTTAGGACTTGATCTAAGCTTGTCCAGCTATGCAATCATGTTGATGAATATAAGAAGGCATACAGAGAACGCCAGTAGAGATACTTTTATTGTAGTGGGTAGTATGCAGTGTAGTAACGTTGTGCTATAGTCGTGTGTAGTGCCTTGCAATTTACCTGCTAACTTGTTATTATCATATGTAAAATAATGGTTTTACGATTGAAAGTGATGAAGCTCTCCTTTCCGACCAGCTGCGATGTTGTGTTGCAACTGAAAACTTTATATAAAATGAAAACTATAAAAAAAATATATAAATGAATACTTAATATCGTTTCCATTATGTGAAATAATTTAACGACAATGTAATTAACATTTTAAAATACGGATGTAGTGCAAATAATGCACAATAAGTGTATTGTCGTCTTTATTGTAGTTAAGGTGTTATTGCATTCAAAACTGAACATTTAAGCCAGTTGGAAAATCCTGGTTGCATGACAAAGTTGATCTGTATGTTTATGCTTTAAACGAGTGTAAATAAATGTATATGAGTGCAATGTGCAGTTCTTCACTATCTAAAGTATACATATGTCGAGAAAAATTACTGCCATATAGTTGTATATATCATTTATATGACTGTAAAGTGGGATGTGTGCACGTAGTGTATTTTCATCATTTTTAATTCATGCCATTGAATTTAGATGGTTTCATTCAATAGAGGACTATATAGTGACATCATTTGTGATATTTTACTGGTAGAAAGGACCTATGTTGTTCATATTCAGAATATAGGATCATTGTAAAAAAATAGTCTCTGTGTAGTGTTTAGCTATGGAGAGTTATTTTTATTAGTTTATGAAAAGAAGTATGAAGTTTTACTTTTTTTGGTAAATGCTGAGCAGCTATATACATAGTGTAAATACATTTGTGTCCTAGAGAGAAAGTTAAATTTGATTTTCTCGCTATATTTATAGTTTGCAAATTATGTACGAATAGTATAGGAGGATTAGGGTTAGGGTTTTATTTTATTTTCATCTTGGCATTTAGGCCGTTTAAAAGGTTGAAGCACCAGATATAGTTTTGTTCGTAGCATGGATCAGTGTCGTCACTGTCGTGCAAAGAACCCACAATTAGCTCTGGTGTGTGCGAGTTTTTATATTATTGCGATGTTTTTGATTTGCGGTTTTATGTGAGTAAACATGGAAAGAGGATATTGCTTGCCTTTTCGTGGCACGTGCATATACCAGGTTTTCTGGCTGCATAATAGTGACAAGCACCTCATTTCATTTCTCTGTAAGGCCCCATAAAAAAAATGTTAGTTTATCATCCTTGTCATCTAAAGAAAGTGATGAGGGAGGCGGGTTTTTTTTTTTTTTTTTTTATTTTCCGAACACAAACACAAACATA